CCCCAAAACCCCAAAACCCCAAAACCCCAAAACCCCAAAACCCCAGTTTTGGATATTATAATTGAAATATTAATTATGAATAGGGCTTGTTTACTCTGAATGATTCTCAATTGCTACTTTATTGAAACCATTAGAATCTAATGTGTCTCGTACTTTCTCAATAGGCATTCCTCATTCATTCATTTGAATAGATTTCAAGGTATTTTTAAAATGTTTACTTTGAGATAATCCTTTAATCAAGTTTACAAACCTTTCTGGATAATTCTTCCAATCTCAGCGTTCAGGACGTCCTCAAAAAGGTAGGGAAAGACTTTTAAATACTGATCCGTTTAGAAAACTTTTCAAATTTGGAATAGTTTCTAATTCAAGTTTACAGTTTGGAAAACCAAAGTAACTCCAATTTTGGTTTGCAACTTGGAATAAAATTCTCATTTGGCTCTGGCTAATGCTAAAGTTATGAAGAAAGAAATTTTGATTAATTCTTGGGCTAACATATCAAATAATATCAATAATCTGATCGATTTTTCATAGTTGTCCATTGTAATTTAAATCGAGTCTCTCAACTTTATTAGGGAAAGAAGATAATATAAAATCTTTGGCAATCTCAATATTTTGGTTCATGTTAAGGATTCTTAATTCATCTAAATTTACTCAAGTACTATTCCTGATATGTTCTATAAATTCTAGATCTTGAGGGTTAGCAATATCAAGATGAAATTTTCAAGAAATATAATTATTCTCAATCTCTTTATTAGTAATCAATTTATATCACTGACAGAGTCCTTCTCTTGTATTTAATCTGAAGCATGAAGTTGCTCTCTTTTTGAAGTCTCTAAATTCCTGCTTTAATAATTTTAAGTCTTGATCCACAGGATAGCCTTCATCTTTACTTTCTTCATCTTGTTTTATAAGACCTAACCCAAACATTTTACTAATGTTGGATTTCTCGGCTTTTAGAAAATCTCAAATCAAATAGAAGTAGTTTTCCATACAAAATTTGTTAAAAGATTGGTTCTCTTTCAACTCTGAGCAAAGACCTTTAACTTTCAGTTTAATGTCTTCATAGTCCTGGAATTCTGGATTTTCTTTGATATTTTCAAATTCCTTTGAGACTTCGGCAATCTTCTCATTTATCTCCTCAGCAAAAATAACTCGCTCGTTAATTTCTTCTTGGTCAGAATTTAGGTTTATAGCAACTCAGAAGTTTTTGGTACACATCTTAAGAACTTCAAGTGCTCCCTCAACTTCTTCTATCTCAGTCTTACCACCAAGTTTCACTCAGTTCTCCCTTTGACTAGGCTGTCAATGGTCATCACATATATAGACCATAAAGTCTTTATTAAAGTAAGTAGCTACATTACTACAGTCCTTCGCTTGTCACCCTGGTACTAATTCCATCAGACTCCTAATCTCACACCCAAAATATAGTACGCTCTTTAAAGGCCAAAGCCGCAGCTTAATATCTTAACTCCAACATTTCACCAACCTCCTAAATTCACGGGGTTTTGGGGTTTTGGGGTTTTGGGG